TGGCACAAGTCGTGAATCCTCCCTTAGCTAAGGATGGCGCGGCGTCTCTCAGATACGTCGAGTTTTATCTTGAGCTCGTGTATTGGACCGAGTTACCTTTTTGAGCCTCAAAATATCAAAAAATTTCCGTGCTGCACACACCTAAGGTTGAGGTGACGTGGAAAGTGTCGCCCTCATCACACGTGTGAAGTACTTGTGGTTGTCGATGACAGTGGCAAATGAATCACTCACGCTCGACGGTACGATAGAGGACATGACAAGAAGCATCTAATAACCGAAAGCGAGGTTGAAACTACTGATTGCATTGGACGTAAAAATGAGATTTGAGGCCGATAGTTAGTAGAATCTTTAGATATCGTTCTCCAGCAAATAGCAAATGTTAATTTCCGCGCAAGCAGTTTTACTACTTGCTTAGTGTCGTTCGCTATATATAAAAACTCGCTTTTGTTCTTGTTGTAAACCCGACTTTCCTACAAACGTTTCACATGTGTGTGACCAGTTATCAGAACAAACTTTTGATATCTCAATACATTCCAAATGGTTTCAGAGCAAAAGAGCTTTGCCAACCAAATAATTTATCAGCACTTATAGCCATGTCTTGCAACTACCTCTATCTTTCCTTACTACGTCACTCAATAAAAAAATGCAAGGAAAGATGTCATGTCCGGTACTCATGCGTCTAATGCTGTGCCTTGCCGTCAGAATACTTGTTTTGCTCCATCCTTATGTACGCACAGATGATTCACAGCAATACAAATGTAGTAGAATCAAGCTAAAATGAAATGACTGCTAAAGAAGCAAATCGATATGTAGTAGCTGACTAAAGCTGTCCTTGTCGATAGACCTTGGCACTTCGGTCGATAAACTCTCTGCCCGGTCCCTGAGGGTCGACCTTGGTCCTTCATCAATGGACCTCGGTCCTTCGTTAATGGACCTCGGTCCTTGTCGATAGACCTTGGGCCTGCGGTGGATGGATCTTCGCCCTGGTCCCTGCAGGTCGTTTTTTGGTACTTCATCAATGGACCTAGGTCCTTCAACGATTGACCTTGGTCCTTCGGTCGATGAACTCTTGGCCTCAGTCCCTGAGGTTGGCCTCGGTCCAGAGGTCCAGATATCCTAGCCAATCAGAGTCAAGAATCAGGTCTCAGGGTAATGGTAGAGTAAAGGAGCTAAAAGATAGGAATATATAAATAATACTACTCAATTTGCGATCTACGCAGCACGCCTTCGTCGTGCTCTCAAGGAACATAAATAAGTCTACTCACCTGGTCCGGTAGAGGATATATCTTGGCCCCCTGTCGAAGACAGTCGTGTGGTAAGACCCAAGCGCGAATAGAGCCCCAGGAACTTTTTGGCTGGTGGGTTCGTCTGAGTAGCACCCCCCTCCAATCAACCCGCTATCGAAAGCGGTTTCCATACCCTAGCGGTTCGGGAGAAAGTAAAGGCTAGACGATTAATGCCCTAAAGATATCAAGGAAAAGGCCAGGGTTGAGAAGCTCCCCTGAAGAATTTGATTATAAGTTTACCCTCGACCTAGTAGACCGATTGGCCACCTACTAGCCTACCGAGTGAAGCATATCCACTCGACGCACTCCAAGTTCAACTTCTTGCAAGGCCGACATCGCATCTCCACCAAGTCCTCCGAAGAGTGCAACCCGCCAGACGACGGGTACACGAGGTGAGAGAAGGTCTATACGCGGCATCGGGGTACCCCCTCCGACAGTCGGCAGTCCGGCACAGTGAGTTGCTTGGGGTCTCCTTACTCAGTTTTTAGAACCCACTCTACCACAGTGTCGTCTATTTCAACGAATCATCGTGTTAGAGTGTGCCCTTTACTTGACGACCCAAATCTTCGTGGTCGACGTAATGCATTGGCTCGCCAGCCTGGTCACTTCTTGATACTGTCTTAACCGTTAGACTATTTGAAATGCTGCTGCCCCAACAAGACAGCTTGTTAGGCGCCTTGATTTTAATTAGTCAGCCTGTCGAGCACCATGTTGTTGTACAGGCGAATGGCTTCATCGCCTCTTCAGGTTTAGGTTTATGGTGGATAAGCTTGGCGATGGTCTTGTATGCGGCTCGTTCGCATCATGGGAAAGCAACACAGCGTCAGCGGCTGACAATTTGAGCCATTTGCTGTACCGGCTGCCGTTTACGATCTTTAGAGTAGCCGAAGTCATCATGATACGCGTGAGAAACGTTTACATTCGCTGGGGCCATAGCGAGATGTGTCTATTTTTATTGTCAAGACCAAGAAAGGTTGCTAGGTATCCTACGCCTATACTGATGATCGCCAAAGGTACTTACACTGATGGCAGCGCAAGCAAGTGCCTCGTATTTTGTGCTTATAGGCAGAGAGGAAGCGTATACGACTAGTTGTAAGTAATTTTAAGAGGTGTATTGGTATAGTTAAAGCCATTAGCAAAAGCTATCGTTTTGACTTACTTGAATTCATACAAATACAAATATTCTAATACTATATACAAAATATCTGCCGGCTAATCATTTGCGTGCATTCACCGTGGATTGGACCGCCTGTTCTAGGTTATACAGTGGCGTGGCTGTAGCGGTACTATGAAGTGCTATAATTACTAAGATTACTGTTATAATGTTACCCTTAAAATGTATAGTGTTTTACATTCTACTCTGCATCAGAGAAGATCATTTGTGGCTGTACGCAATTCAATATTGTTTACATTCAGATCCAAATAAGCTACGAAAAAAGCATACCCTGATCTATTTTTTTTCCTTGACACAAAATTGCAGCTTTTTACCGTCGGATACCTTTTCCCCTTATACCCAGGGTAAATATAGCAAATACGGTACAAGCAGATAATTGATAAAGAGGTTATAAATATCTTCGCACCTTTTAATAAATTGAAAATAAAATACTTAAGTTCATATTTTTTCAAGGTAAACTAAATGTGCCCAGCAATATGTGAATGGTTGTGTCTTAAGTAATTGTACCGAGATAAAAGTTTGCATTGGGAAAGCACCATTCTGCGTGAAGCTACTAGCATCGTGCGATTTCTGCGATACGCACAATCTTGAAACAAGCGCTATTGCTTTATTAAGTTTATTACTTTGTTAATCGGTTGCTGTTTACACGACGCGTAGAAAAATATGCTCACCTGTTATATATAGATGCTCGTATATGACAAAATTAATGGGGATAATATTGCAACTATAAACAAGACAAATGATTATGACGGATAAAATTAAAGCGATAATTACCAAATATGTTACATACATGAAACATATATTACCATTTGAATCAAATGCTAGCAAAGACACTTCGACTTAGAATTACATTGCAGCAACAATGTAAGTAATTTGCATGTGCTCATTCTTCTTTCACCAATCATATCCGTGGGTTATCATTATCATAATAAAACGTACTTGACATCCGTTGATCATCGAACATTTTCTTCCACTGTCAACTAGAATTTACGTATCTGCAGCAAATGTTACATGGATAGCAGCACCCATTTGTTCAACCCCCTAGCACCAGAGTCCTTTGGCTTGACTTCAAATAAAGCAAAAAAAAGTTTAATTATATTGAGATGAACGCATCTTCCATGTGTGCATTCATTTCATACTTTGCCGTAGAGTAGCCACACGTCGATGATACATACAGCAAACTTGGCTACTTCAATCATGAAGCCATCCACGTTATTCATCAACCCCGCTGCAGCTGCATCGTTGGCCATCACTACTGCCGACAAGTAGTCACTGGAGATGGTACCGCGTACATCCTCAGTGACATTAGCTCCGGTAATTGCAACATGATGTCGGCTCTCGATTTCGCCAACACCGACTACGCTGCCATTAACAACGAGCAGTAGAGTACCTTCAAAACTGTGGTCGCTGTGCTGAGGTTACTTGCGTCGACTTTCGTTGTGCCGATCATATTAAGTTCTGTTCTGGTGCAGATTCTTGGCAGTTGCCATGAATGCAAGCGCGATGACCTTGATTTGTCGCCGTCCGTCTTCAAGTCCCTAAAGGGATCTCATCCGTCGCGGTACGCGATCAAATGAAAGTTCGTGGACTGTCCTGTATTGGACAACGTCAATTACTGGCTGAAGGGTGGCAGCAGCAGCTCCTGGATGGCCCTGCAGCTCACAAACGTCGCGACGGGTATCACCATCCAATTAGTGTCGCCAGTGGTGGTCAATAGCTCACAACAATGTTTATCATGTCATATAAACTGGAGTCTAAACGAAGAGACGACGTATTTCATTCCAGAGCCATACAATCGTCAAAGTGATGAGATTGTGATCTTTTATGTCGACCGACGCGTGTTAAAGCACGAAGGAAGGAAGTCACAACCATTCTATATGAATTTGCCTTTTTGTAGTTGTGTCTTTCATCTTTTGTTGCCTTTACCACGAAAATTAATTGTGCTTCTTCCTGGCACGAAAGTTTCAGCTGCACCAGAGTTTAGACAGTCAAAGGCTTCTTTTCATGGTTTTATAACTCATACGCTCATGCAATATGCCGTCACTTGGCTACATGGTGCGTCGTGTCGACTAAAAATACTTTTTTCGTAGGGCAACGAATGCACCGATAACCGTATTCATGAGAGCATTGCTTACACACTCTGCATTACTATTCTGGTTTGCTGGATTCTTGGCTTTTCGTACTGGATAAGCTCTCTAGCGATACTTGGTGCATTTCACGACCTCACGACCTCTCTGACAGTCTTTTAGTATGGACGAATACCTCTTTCTGTACGTTCAATGATCGACCAGAAATATATTACATATGGTATATAGCCTTCAGCCTGTCCAGCAAGACAGGATGCTAGCCACAATATCCCAACTTACCTCTTTTTTGTCAAGCACTTACGTCTGCTTGCTCTTTTCTCGGACAAGCAGTCATTGCGTCATTCTTGATCACACTCATTTTCGCTTTTGCTGTCAGTACAGCAATTCACACTTGACGTTGTAACTGCTTTCGTATTGTCAAACTTTTTTGATCAAAGGATCTATTTGGCTAGAATGAAAATGTTCGGTGTGCTTGCTACATACGTGTCAGCCGCCTTTGCAATGACAAATGCAGACGAGTACTTTACGGGTGACGGCACATCCTACAATTTGGGTCAACCAAGCGCAGGAAATTGTAACATGATGTCATCACTCGACTTTGCCACGATGGACTACGTTGCACTAAACGATGCACAATGGGACGGTCTTCAAAATTGTGGTCGTTGTGCCGAGGTGTCATGTGTTGATGAACGGTGTGCCGACCAGTCCAAATCGATTGTAGTCCAAATCCTTGACCGTTGCCCGGATTGCCGATACGGTGACCTCGACCTATCGCAGTCGGTTTTCAAGACACTTACGGGGTCGACACCTGCACGATATAGGATCAAGTGGAAGTTGGTGACTTGTCCTGTTTTGGGCAACGTCAAGTATTGTCTTAAGGGTGGCAGCAACAGCTATTGGCTGGCAGTGCAGCCCACGAATGTTGCAACGGGTATCAAGCACCTCCAGATTAACGGTAAAGAAACTATAATGCTCGGCTCAGCCTACTACTTTCTACTAGATGGAGGCAGTCAGACCCAGACGGATCTTTCCTGTATGAAGATTGCAATGACAGACGTAAACGACAACTCGATGGAAGAAACGGTATCGCTCACGGCAGACAAGTGCACGGAAGGCACCAGGCAGTTCCCCACTGGCGGAACACAGACGTTTCAGCAGAGTACAACGTTGATCCAAAGCCCGACGCCACCGAATTTAGCACCTATAGCTGCTCAACCTGCTCCACCTCCAAACCCGCCGCCGACTTTAGCTCCTATATTGCTCAACCTCTCCACCTCCAAACCCTCCCACTTTAGCACCCATGATTGCTCAACCTATTCCGCCTTCAAACCCGCCGCTGACGCTGCCGACTTTAGCACCCATAATTGCTCAACCTGTTCTACCCTCAAACCCGCCGCTGACGCTCCGACTTTGCACCCATAATTGCTCAACCTGTTTTACCCTCAAACCCACCGCCTGTGCCACCGACTTTAGCTCATACGAAAGCTCCACTTACTCCAGTTTCAAAGCCCCCTCCAACGTATAACACGTATCCGAACGTACAATGGGAGAAGGCAACGTCTGCGCCTGCTCCTGCAATTCAATTGCAGCCGCAAAATATCCTGCCTACTTCGATTCCTGTGCTCACCACTGGGGGTTCAAGCAAGATTGCTGTCTCGGCAATTGTGTCGCCTACCAACACCATTGCTTCTAAAAGTATAACTGAATACCAGTCGGAATCTACGACATACGACGACAAAGCCATTCGGAGTTCTCAGCAGGTTTTCAAAACAACCGATACTCCTGAGCCTGGAAGCACTCCGTCGTTGGAGATAACGCCCAAGTCCAAGACCAGCACAAGTATGTATAGCAGCAGCACTGCCACCACTGAAAATGACACAGTACAAAAGAAGACTTTGCAGGAGGGTGGTCTGCTTGTTGCTGGACCAACTGTTCCGTCGTCAAGCACGAAACAGACTGGAAAGAGTCAAGTTAACGACGATGCGGCCGAAACGGTGAACACAAAGTCTGGGCAGACATTGAACGGCACTGATCCGCTGATCATTGTACTTTCGACGCTTGGTGCTGTGGGTCTGGTGGCGCTTATTGTCGTGATAGTGATCGTCAAGAGGAAAAACATCCAGGAACAGAAAGCCCGTGACGTTGAAGTGTCATCCATGATTGAGGCACATTCTTTTGACGGACATCAAACGCCATCCGACCGATCGAATGCTATTGGCATCCTATAAGTGTAGGGACCTTGGTAGGTATCTATTTGTTAATGGGATTGTAGTAAGGAAGCCGATTTATGTATCCGTTGATATGATATACTAAAAACATCACACGTGAATCCAAACTGACACTTGAATTTCCACGTCTCACTCATCGCTACTGGCGATTGAACGAACGAGAGTCTCAGTTTGGTATACGAACAGAAGAACCTGTCTAAGCGGATCTCCTGGAATATTCTCTAATTTTACTGACCAGAACTATTTTTCGGTTTCGAGCCGGTATCAGTAAGCTAAAGCAGTATCTTGTTAGACAGTTTTTCTGTAACATACTTCGTTGATCCAACGAGATGCTAATTAGCACAAGATTTGCCATTTTTGGTTTGACTACGATTAAACTCTGATCCATTAGCTCCACGTCTTATGAACTCCTGACGCAACAAGAAGTGTAGAACACCTATGTCGCGGCACAAGACACAACACGTTTCGAATAAACACACGACGTTCTGCCCATATGTATATGCTTACTGCTTGTTTGGACGAGCGATCAACCTCGAGCACAAACATCAGAGACGGCAAACTACTAACGCAATTGATTCCACAAAATGTATGTGTCTACAGCAAGATTTCATAACTCGCGATGAGTTTGATTCTCACTTGGAGACATAATGAGATATTGGTCACCTTGTTCAGCATCAGCAGCAGAAGGCGTCGTGCTTAACCTTGCAAGCACTGGTCGCATCGGTCCACTGTTGCCCGGTAATCGATTTTGCTCACTAGAAATCAACTTCTCGCGCATTCCTACCCAACCCAATAAATTCAACCGCGGCAAATGAGCCATAGCTGCAGGACGTCGCAATTCATGTAGAGCTGCACGAACTGCTCTTCGTGCCTCCCGACTTCCAACATCTTGTCTTTGATGTCGAACAAGTTGTCGTTGAGTCAGAATTGGCGCAATTACAAAGAGTGCGATCGTTCCAGCAATGAGTCCTGCCGCTAGTTGAAAATTTGAGCCATCAAGCACTGGTTTGCACCAACTGTTCAAGATAATGTCGTCACGGTTTGGCATTTCACACGCAGAGAGGCAGATGCATCCTGAGTCTCCCACACACATGGCAGTCTGAGATACGTGTTGTCCATCCATATAACCATTGGTCCAATTGGCTCGACAAGCTGAACACATTGTATCATCTGGTGAACAATATGTAAAGGTATCCATAGGATATCCTCCAATATTTGATGCCACATAAGAGTTTACACACTCGCCATAAGGACTGATAGCACACTGCAACAAGTTGTAATAAAAGGGTATAAAAAGAACATAATGTCAATGTGAAGTTAAAGAATATGTTGTGTCGATTTTAAGGTAAAACAAATGGGTACAAACTTCACGTATACGCACATTTTGACGAGGAATAACAACGTTAAGACAATCCATGCACGTGCGAGGACGTGAGCAAATAGTACCAGCATACCACGTACACGAGTCTCCTTCATTGGCAGTTTCAAGCTTAGGAGCGATTGTTGATTCAATCAAAGGGTCATTGGGTGCAGAAGAACTTGAGTCAGTCAAGTTGTGATTATTACTACCATTATTCACGTTATTATTGATGCTATTTGAGCTTATATTATTCATTGTTTGTTTCGTGAGTCGAAATGAAAATTAATTTATGATAGGACTTTGACTTGTTAGGTGAAAAGACCAGTTAAGAATAAACGAGGTGGCGTAAACCAAGCTGAGACCATCGGCAAAATTAATAAAAATCCATATCGTTTCGAACAATTGATAAAAAATCTGTGCTAGAAAACATGCAAACATGTCACAGAAACTATTATAAAGAGAGTGTTAATGTATGTAGAGTACTGTAATATCTTAAGTAGATCGTACCAATAATATTAGATTCTAGCGGTGGTAAGCTATTTACGATATAAAAATAAGAGGTTTTCTCATCTTTTTAAGCAATGCACACTAAATACTTGCAGAATGAAAGGGTTCATCCATCACCCACGTCATGTTCAATATCAATTTAACGATCAACAGTAAACACACTTTTACTCTATGCTTCTTATAACACCAATTTGGCACTAGAAATATCAGTTTCATGATAATGTCATCATGCTTGATGGAAACATGTCGCATCTTTATATGATAACAAAGCAAGATGAGACAGCTAACGCGGATGTCAAAAAGATGTTCATGCTAATACAAAAGCGCACAAAACATGGTCGTAAATTAGACCTGGACCAACAGATGAGGACGAGATATCGTCAGAATTGATTACGGTATAAGAAAAAAAGGATCAAACCACGAAAGCAATGCGACTTGTGCCACTAAGCACTTATTTCTACCAATAAGCACAATGTTATACTGGTTGGTGTCGTCTCTATACGTCAAAATCATTCCAATATTCTAATCAAATACTTGAAAGCCTTAGGAAACAAGTAATAGTCAATTCAATTATATCAAGAGAGATACATCAGTAGTGTGAGGTAGTGTGAGAAGTTATAATAGTATACAGTTAGTAAGGCTAGAAACAGTTATAGATTTTACATGCCTTGCAAAACAAGCGTGTGATGGACAAATGTTTCAACATTTAACAGGATCGTTATACTATAGAAACTGACATCTGTATGTCATAAAGTGTTGACCTGGGTGCACTGAGTGGAGTTTGTGTCTCACCCAAATGAAGAATGATTGCTGCTAATTAGAAACAATACAAAACATCGGGTTCTTTCATATGTGTCTTTCCTGTACACACCGTCTCAAGCAGTATCTTGTTAACTGAATATATTGCTGATGACTGTTGAATGTATAAAACATGTACAGTACATTAGCACTTTCATGGTATTTGGACTTCTATGGTTATCAAGTCATTTACAACGCATAACATAGCATACCCAGTCTTTGGCACATTAGTCATGCTGGAATCTATTGGACGGATAGTTTAGACAGAGCTCCTGCTCAGTTGAAAGCAGCAAAGCCTGACATTGAAATCTTCGCTTGCTACTACAAGTGACTATCCATTGCAGCATATACGCAGCTGCCTACACGCTACAACTGATATAGCTTGATTTACAAACGCGTGCAGGTAGTAGCGGTGCTTCCACGAACCATTTGAGTCACAACTTAAACGTCTTTAGTGATCGTTACCCCACGAACATCCGTAGCACTCACATGACCCTGTCCAAATTCCTATCGATCGTGTATTAGAACAAATCTGCGCAACATCACAAGACATATATATACTCGTCCATCTATCTACATATGATCTTCATTACATTACCGTCTTAATCAGAGAGCGATCGCTTCTTTTGACCGCTTTCTCCTTTCCTCAGTACTTCCAGCCTTCAGACAAGTTAGCTTTGACTTATTTATTGACAAGTCTGTTGTTTGTGTCTCAGATATCAGCTCACTTACTTGCATCGTGCTGAGTTTTTTGTATACGTTGTTCAAGCACGCGACTCCGACCGGAACCCTTGCTCTTGCTCTACTCGCATCGTGGGCACATTTTCAACCCCTAACGTATCTTCACGATTGCGCTGCAACATCATGGTATCACTTCCATTCATATAGCCATGCTCGGACTCGATAAGGCTTCGGCGCAGCGACTTCCATCCCGCTAACGAAAGCTGCGGCCTTATCGGTGCTGGCCGCGCTCTCGTACGCGAGTCTCGACGAATAGCTGTATAAAAAGCATACCAATCGAAATCTAGTGTAAGTTTCCTGACCTGCATCATTTAAACCAACATATCTTACCTGAAGACTCATTCTCTCCGCGATTCACTAACCGCCGCGCACCCCACGTTGCAACGGCCAGCAATACTGCCACGGCCACTCCGACGAATAGTGAAACTGTAACGTTTGTAGCAATGGGCGTCATGGAGTTTAAGCTCTTTTCGTCGCTAGAACATAGGCCTTCGATCACCATGTCCTGCCAATTTGGTGTTTCACAGTCTGCAATACACACGCATCCATCCGTCCCCGTGCAGAGCGACGACATGCCGGGGCTTCCGGTGGTGACAAAATTGGTCTTCCATTGATCACTGCAGGAGGCGCATTTTGAGTCGTCAGCATTGCAGTACGTGTATTCGCTTGACGTGTAGTAGTGCTTTGGTGGTATGTAGTAGTTTTGGCTAGCCAGGTAACTCTCGATCTGATCTAAGCTTACACAAACGCCACTCGGATCTATAGCGCACGCGTTGGTTGACAGCGGTACGTTTAGACAGTCAAAACAAGTGCGTGGCCGCGTGCATTTGCTGTCGACATACCACGTGCACGAGTCATCGGTATTGGAGCTCACAGACTTGTTCAAGTCATTCTCATTGAGTGTAATGGTGATATTGTCATTGCTGAGACTAGAGCTAGAGTCAATGACGTTATCATTTCTGCTAGAATCCAACGTCATATTGTTATTGACACTAGCGGTCACCTATACGACTAAATTGTCACGAGGGACAATGTGTAAATTAAAGACTGATCAATCGTTTTGATGTGTGAAATGATCAGTATTAATCGATTCAAGCCTGGGCTTTTCAATAGGTGCATTATGTATTACTAGTTTCCTCAGGGTTTGTCAACTAACAACGACGGGCCACCAATGGATCAGAGATCAGAGCCAGGCAGCCAGGGCAGGTTCATTTAACAGCATTTGCTATTCTCAGCTCTATTGATGTCAGTTAACCAAGCTCTCAACCTACTGAATCTCACAGCTCTTGTCGATGGTCTTCTACGCCAGTATGCTCTAGCAAGTTTGTCATCCACAAGACGTGAAAGATGGATCACATCTTGCACCAGCTTGAAAGTGTTTCTCAAGAGCTATCAACAGTATAGACCGTAGCATTACAATCAGTGTTCATGAAGTCCAAATCAAAACACGACTCATAAACATTGCTATATCCAGGTACATTACATGATGCTGCGTGAGCTTTTGTCTCAATTTTGTCGGCCCAAGTGAGCTCACCATAGTTTCAACAATGTAGCTAAGACGGTCACAAAGACATGGTGCCGTATCTTTAAAAAGCGCAGTTCGACCACGCTCAAGTGACCTTTAAACTCATAGCACCAAACTACGCCCCACGCATTCTGCGTATTGAATACAAAGTCAGGTGGTTCAGAGTGCTAAACGATAAGAACGCTGTCCCATCGGACTGAGAGGAGCTCATATGGATTCACTTAATGTGATACTATTTTGCGTGTACCATAAGATATCTAACGTCCTCATCTATATCACCTTCGCAAGCTCGTCTCTCGCTGGCAACTCGTTAAATCAGGCAAGGTCTTACTGCATTTGTGTTGTCAATGCTCGACTGACCTCGACTGTTCTCGTCACGGTGCTAAGAGGAGCCTGTGGGTCCTCATACTCGATCGAGTACACCAGGCGAGCATAGTAAGAGCCGAGCACGCCTCGTCGCCCGATATTCACTCTACGTCGTCAAATATAGTGGTCAAAAAAATTGCCTGCGCGAATACGTCTTTAGCCTACAAGCGGCAGCACGATACCATTCTATATAACACTGGTTGCTGTATTCGACGCCTTTACAGACGCCAACTTATTTGACTCAACTATAACGGAATGGGAGGCACGGAATCCTAAATCAAGACATGGTAACTAGGTTTCACTTTGGGACGACCTGAAATTAAGTAGACACATAAAAACGGCAAGCTGAATTTTATAAAGCTCAATTGTAATATCAACCAATTACAAAGTAAAGTCGTGCCACGTCAAGTAAAAATGGCGATCAAGATCTTGGCCTTCCTGGCCACAGTGTTTCTATGTAGTACATGCTCTACCGCTGATGAGAAAGCTGCTCCTACACAAGCGCATGCTAGTCATATTCTTGTGGACACGGAAGCTGAAGCAGACAAGTTAAATGCTCAATTGAGCGAGGCTTCCAACCTCTTTGTCATGTTTGCCCAGCTTGCCAAGGAGCATAGTAAATGTCCATCCAGTAATAAAGGAGGAGATCTAGGAACATTTGGTCGTGGTCAAATGGTGCCTGCGTTTGATCAAGTTGCTTTTGAGGGAGAGATTGGAGTCGTGCACAAGGTCAAGACTCAGTTTGGATGGCATTTGGTGCTTATCTCCCGTCGACTGGACGGAACGGAAGAGCCGGATAAGTTTTGCACTCTGAAAGATCTCCTGATGAAGATTATGCCATTTCTTAGTCCTGTCATTCTCATCATTATTATGGTCCTGGGAGCTCGTAAAGGCAAAGGTGGACCTCGAGCTCGTGCGTACCATATTTTACTCAAATCGGAGGACGAAGCGGACAAATTGTTCAAGGAAATTGACGCTGCAGACGATAAAAAGGCAAAATTATCGGAACTTGCGGGTAAGTACAGTACGTGTCCGTCGGGCAGAAAAGGAGGTGACCTTGGAATGTTTGGACGCGGAGAGATGGTGCCCCAGTTTGATAAGGTCGTGTTTGAGGGTCAAGTGGGTACGTTGGCTAAGGTGCAGACGAAGTTTGGGTGGCATGTGCTGCTTTGCACGGAGCGTCTTGGAGACAAGAAGTCCAAATAAACTGTTTTCAGAAGCTATGAGGATGTTGGGGGTTATAATTTGGTTTATAAGGGCTTTACTTTTCGTTTTCTAGATGTTTTGTGAGCTTTGTCACGGTATCGCTTGAGTGTAATTGATTGCTGCACTAGACCTCGTTAGAAGCTGCAAAACAAGATTATTCCTGCGCAGGAATTCTTTGAATTAACGAGTGCGCTTATGTTTCGAACAACAGACATACTTAGCAATAGTTGCAAGCTTCTTTTACTTGTAGGACTGTGACAGGGACCACTACTTGATTTTGTTGACATTGGAGATACCAAAAAACTCTGCAACATTCTAAACGTGCCTCACTGATTCGACATTGTTGCCGGGCTGTTAGCATATGCACTTAATGGTAATGATGCAAGACGCTATTCTCATTTGGCACCGTAATTTCTATGGATCGATGATCCCGAGTGAATGAAATCTCTGTCTTGTGTTAAGTACATCATTGTCTGCCTGATGCATTGATCGAGTGAGTATTCGTTCCCAAGTTGAATGTGAAGCTATTATTCAATCACTTCTCCAGCCCCAATATACTATTCTCACCACGAAAAGCAACGCGTAAGGACCTTGTAGTTCCGCAGCTTATCATGAATGACAGTATTCCTTCTTTGTATGACCAGGCTCCATCGAAACGCACTAGATCTCCATGTCATCTCATTTTTTTTATTATATGTAATTTAATATGATGGCTGACAGAGTTATGAGTATGATGCCAAACACCTTTAGGCTCTTGGGTATCCACTCATACTCTGCCGATCACGTCGTCACGCGCGCAAGTCCAGTTGGGTAATACAACTTTCTGGATAAGTCGAAGCAGCATCGCTCCCGGTCTAAGGCCGATAATTCATAATTCTGCTAAAGATCATCTTGCACTGATAATTCGAAGGTCAAATTGCGAGGTAAATGTGCTTCTCGACCTCTTTTCACCATTATTCGCGTCCAAATGACTCAATCGTCTGGTGTCCCTGTCTGTGCTCTACTTTGACGCTCGTCGATCCAGTTGGAGGTTCTACGCGTGCTGGACAAGTAGACACAGATATGTAACCTCTCTCTTCTCGACCTACAACCACCTTATACCCCTTCTCCAGTTCTTGTAATTCGTTTACTACATATCACATGCTTTTTCCTTGTGAGATTGCATAACTTCAAATCAATTTCATATTGCCATGTATATGCTGCGTGACGTAGCTTTCACGCCAAGCTTGAAATTTTCTCCCTTCGGGAGTATTGAGTGGCTGGTGGTCGATTGCAAGAGCTCGAATATCGGCAGGCTAGCCGTCGTTCCACATTGCTCGCCCTATCGGGAGACCAGATCGCCAAATTTGTAAGGCATGAACTTGACGTGGCTGACAAAAAGGTAACCTTGCTTCACCAGCAAGGAAGTCAGCAGGTAAATCTATTGAGAGTACGGTTGGTATGCAAGAATTCAAACTGCTGCGACACTAGCAAACTTCATTGTTGAGGCGAAGTGTACTCGTCGACCAAAAGACTTGAAGATTGGCACCTCTAAGCTCAAAGGCAGTCAACCGAAAGTCTTCTTGTAGGATGCTTCGTCGGTATCGACGATGCCATCGAAGTTTTTTGCGTCGAAACTGATGCGATGAAGGTAACTTTTTGGCATGTTTAACCTAGCGGAACATGCTAAAGTCTGGGCCATTAGGCTCAATCTTCACGACTCTCATGCATTAGGTCGTATGAAAACTTCAAGACGCGGCTAAGACAAAGTTTGAGCTGTCATGTGCCAAATTCAAGGCGAAGGGGTGAGACTGCTCACGAGAGAAAGTATTTCTGTTGAGTTACACACAATACTATTATTGACCATTTGATATCTGAGCCCGTCACCCTGTTAGTGTGGAGGTGGTAATGATGCCACATTGGTCTGCGCAAGCGAGCGACATTGGCTATTCAAGTGCGTACTGCTGTAGGACTTGTCAATAGCAGGGTGGGTATTGACGGTCTCTATATAGACAAGGAAGAAGATCAATCATTTTTGAGATAGGTGTAGTCAGCAGTCTTGAAATCAAATCCGGAGCCCTTGTTTAATGAGCTAGCATAAGGCCCAGCCACTGATTCCGATGGTAATGATCTCATCTACTGATATTGGTTTTGTCAATTTTGATGCAGACTCCCAGAACCTCGTATTGTCATTGTAGCACAAAAAGCTGTTGAAAAAGAGGATGAGGATAGCGGTTTCTCACATGAGCTCTATGAAATGCTGTCCACGCAGAGATATATGGGCTAGGTTCCGCATGCAGTGGTTGAGCCTTTCTGGGTGAAATATCAGGTCGATGTCAAGCCTGTCCCTTTCAAACCAGACCGTATTCGAAGTGTGAATAAGTGCTTTCGAAGTGTAAAGAGCTCAAGGATTAGTAGGTTATGAAACAAGGGAGAAGTAGACAGGAGAAAATGGGACCACAGAGGTGAAGCTACCGTTGGATGAAAAAGATTTGCAGGCCCAGCAAAGAGCAGTCTTTGCCAGGGTACCGGTTAAGCGTACTAAAAAGACTGACCGCGGTACTTCATCAGAAGGCCTGATCCGTCATCGGTAGACCTTGGTCCCTCAGGGTCGACCATCGTCCCTCATCGGAAGCCCTCAATCCCTCAGGATTGATCTTGGCCTCTCAAGACCAAGCTACTCCTGGCCAATCATCGTAAGGAAGCAAGGCATAAGGCAAGGATGGAGTAAAGGAGTTAAAGGAGTGGTCCATATTATATACCACTCAATTTTTGCGATCTACGTGGCACGACTCCGTCACGCTTATAAGGAACTTATTAAGTCCATTACCTGTTCTGGGAAAGCTTACAATTTGGCACCCCGTCAAAGACATTCGTGTAGTAAGACTCAAGTGCACCGAGATTCCTAGAATATATTTGGCCTGTCGGTTCGTCTGAGTAGCACTCCCAACGATCCGCTATCGGAAACGGTCTCCCTACCCGAATGATTCGAGTGCAAGTGGGGGCCAGACGATTACCACTCCTTAGATAATTAAGGAAAAGGCCAGGGTCAAGAAGCTCTCCTGAAGCATTTGGTTATAAGTCCACCCCAAGTAAGTCGAACAAGTGACCACCTACCAGCCTACCTAGTGAATCATATCCACTTAAAGCACTTAAGGGTCGACCTATTTCAAGGCCGACATCTACATCTTTATCAAGTATTCTGAAATGTGCAACACGCCAGTCGACGGGTACACAAGGTAAGAGAAGATCCATACGTGGCGTCGAGGTACCCCCTCCAATAGTCTGTGGTCCGGCAAAGTGAGTAATTTGGGGCCTCATAACACGGTTTTGAGAACCCACTACACTACAATGGTGCGCGTTGCTCGATTCTTCAAAAGATAAGACTGAGCAAAGACCGAAGAGCCACTGGAAGACTGATAGACAATAACTCAGAAGAAAACAAATAAGGATCGAAGACCGGCCGGACCTTGGGAGGGGTCCATTCAACACGGCAAGGCTCAACTTATTTAAGAGATAACAGTATGATCTGTATGTCCTCGTAGATGACACTTTGGGTCATGACATCTATCGTGCCCCAGAGAACTATCAGACGACGGTAAAAAAGATAGACTATGGTCTCCGAAAAACAAAAAAAAATACAAAAATAAAGATCGCCATATCCTAGCCGATTAATTTTAGGATGAAGGCACCAGGTAATACCAAGTCGGTAGGCCTCACGATGTCACAACCGTCGACCTGGCCGGAGCATGACATGACCATGGCCTTCTATCGACACCAGCTCGATTCATTTTTGGAAAGAGACTCCATCACGAAGACCTTCGTAATCCGATTGCTTTGACAGCTTGGTGAAGCTTTGATGAAGTTGTTTACCACTAACTTCTTGACCTGTTAACATATTATGCCTTAGCGTCGATAGCTTCTTATTTCTTTGACGACTTGCACGAGGTTGCGATTGCTGACCTAAGCTTTATTTCATCTTTAGACAAGCTGCTTCATCCTATGCGGCTGCCGCGGCAGTACCTTCTGTCGGCTTCTAAAGTCCTGCTTTATCTTCCTTACTTTTCGCAATGACAGCTTTTCCCGGATTCAAAAATACTGCTTGATTTACTCCACCTTTCACAATGCCAGTTTGCTTACGGGATTCTAAATAAAATTTTGTAGTCTCTAAATCATCCTTGGATCGTTGAAAATTCTGTTTCGAGCAGATTTCAAACCATTATACCGGATAAAACTGTCGCTTCATTCTTTGCATCCGAATGAGAAAAGCTCGATCAAATTACGAATTTTGACTGCGGCTCAAAAATTAGAACTTGCGATTTAAATTCTTAGTATGATCAGAGTTTTTTCAACCGCACTGAGTTACTGAGCGATCTTGTTTAATTTGCCTTACTGCAGCCTCGTTTAGAACATATTTTGATGACGTTTTAAGATATCGAGACCTACCCTCAAACGCAATGGGTTACCAAGGACGAATGGTCGATGCAAGGTCTACCACAGAACCTTCTGCCTCAATGTTATCGGGTAACGGCAGAGCAGTCGTCGAAAGGATATTCTGCTACATTTTATGTCAGCAGGATGCCACTGGGATCGACGGGTGTGGCGCTGATTCAGTTTCGTGCGAGGGACGCTTATCGAGAACAGCGAGCTCACGAAACAGCGAAGCGTGTACAACCAATGAAAACCCAGGCTTTTGATAGGCTGAGCTTTCATCCAATCGGAAATATGCAAGGACGAACACCGAACTTTACTCCGCCACGTGGCAAAGCTGTTGGAGAGCAACTACCAACCCAGTAGAAAATCTGCATACATACTTCGACGCCGCGATAACAAAATTTCTGCAAGAGCGTCAAGTATCACGAGCACACCTTATCGGAGGTGTAGCCAGAGGAAGACAGGGGGGGGGGCCGCGAATGACGACAGCCCAAAACGGACCGAGTGAAGGTGTACAAGCCTCGAGACATTGTACAATGACTTATGTGTAAATGGAATTGGTCGGCTCGAGTACGATCCAGATGATA